TCAGCTTGCTTTCCAAATTCAAAGCACTTAAAAAGTTTCCCAGTGGATTTGAGGGTTGGCTGAGGCTGGGGATGTGCATTTCTTTTGCTGTGGCTTTCACTGGGGGCAGAGTACACAGAGTTCCTGTCCTTTATGCCATTTGCTGGCGATTCAGTGTGGCTGGTGTCTTGGGATGCGCCAAGCCCTCCTGATGCTGAAGCCTGCTGCAAAACACTGAAATTGGGGATTGGCTTGGACTGATAACAGAATTTATTGCCAAAGAGCCCTGTATCTTGGCTGAGATTCGTTGCTCTTCCTCCCTCTTCATGTATGCAAAGGGCTTTCTGTAGTTTCCGTGCTGGTGCACATGGGAGGTTGTGCAGGTTGAGGCTGGACTTCCCAGCAGGAACATGTGTGAGCCCACCATCACCACATTATGCAGCACCCAGGGGAAATCAGCCTTCAGGTTTCCTCTGTGACACCTTTGTGTTTTCTTGGACTCTGTCTTGCTTGCTGCTGTTCCTGTTGCTTTACCCAGTTCTGCTTTCTTGTTTGTTCTTTTCCCTGGGGTTACCAGAGCCCTGGGGGATGATCCTGCCCATGTCCTCACTTGGCGATACCTGTGCAGCTCGGCAGCCTCCTGCAGCCTGAGCCCTCTGCTGCCCTGTGCTGGCCCTCCCTGCGTGCACACCTGAGAACCGTAAGCATGGACGTGAGGAAAGATTCCTTACAAAGAGGGTGGTGAAACACTGTCACAGGCTGCCCAGAGAGGTGGTGGGGACATTCAAGGCCAGGCTGGATGTGGTTCTGGGCAACCTGTTCTAATTGAAGATGTCCCTGCTCGTTGCAGGGGACTTGGAGTAGATGAGCTTTGAAGGTCTCTTCCAGACCAAACCATTCCATGATTCTATGACCATGCCCCTGTGCCTGCTTTATGCTGTGGATAGGACACTCTGATCCCATGTGGATCACCTTCCCAGGTCTCCACTGGTTCCCTGCAGGGGGGTCGGTGCTACTCTCAGTGTCCCAGAAAGGCGTAGTGCTGTAGGGGGCTGTACAGCTGTAGAGCAGTGAAAGGAGTATTTCCAGTGTTATATGGGATGCTTTTCATTTTCACATGTCCTGCAACACTCATTTGTTCAGTGGGTTTGGATCCTTCAGAAAGAAACTGTCCCATCCCCATCATAATCCCAAATGTTGTCCTTTTTTTGCCATTGATTTATTTTGTCTTCCTATATTCATGATAGGAGCAGTCTCCAGTGTAGATGACCTGTGGTGTATGTTCATCTCCCACATGATTTAATTTTCCTCCTTGAACCTTTTTATTGGTCTTCATGTGTACCAACTTGTGTGCTCTTCAGTCTCACCAAGTGCAAGTGTCTGGGCTGTCTTCTCATGTGTCTGATGAATACTTTGGACAATGAGATCCAATACCTTGCTGTCTTTGTAGTCAATATAAATTTCAATTTTTGGAGGAGTTAAAGTTGTAATAACATCAGTCCTGTGCAGCTCCTGTACGCTACATATATATTTTGGTGTGATGCTTCCTTTATTGATTGAATTAAAAGTGTAGTGGTAGGTTTAATGAAAATACCAAGAAATACAAGCTGCTTAGGAAGGCATTGATAGTAGACTTGATGGAACAGATTTGTGGTGACTTAGGGTTAACTCTTTCGTGGATGTCCTGGCTTTCACATTTGGATATGATACTGAGTTGTGCTGGAGGTTTTGGGTTGCTTTGGAGTGCAGGTGTGGGGAGACCTGTGTTAAACAATGTCTCAACCCTAGCAGGGGTCAGGAAGAGCTGTTTGTGGCAGTGGCTGTTCCAGCACGTTGTATAAGTGAAAATAGTTATGCTTAGGCAGAATTTACCTGCTTTATTATTTCCGTCAGTACAAAGACCTCTGTCCGTTTACAGCAGATCATAGAATAGCAGAATACCAAGTTGGAAGGGACCTCAAGGATTATCTAGTTGAAGCTTTCTTGGCAAAAGCACAGGCCGGACAAGATAGCCCAGTACCCTTTCCCGCTAAATCTTAGAAGCACTCAACAATGAGTAATCCACCACATCCCTGTGGTGATTATTCCAATGGCTGATTGTCCTCATTGTGACACATTTCCAAGATAAAGACTCTGGACTATTTTGCTGACAAAAAGTAGAAGAGGAATAAAACTTTCACATGAAAGATGGGCTATTTTGTGTTTTCTCCCAGCACTCCTTAGCATGAGAGGGTAGGAGAGGCCAGGGATGTGGAGATAAGGGGGCGCAAGTGAACGTGCTGATGCTGGAGGCTGCAGCCAGCAGGGTTGGTCCAGTGGCATGGAGCGGTACCCAGTACCCTGCACCATGTCATGATGTTCTTGCTGCGGCAGCTCTGGGGTTGTTGGCACTGTGTGGCTGCACCAGTGAGGCTGAGAACCCTGTCCCATCCCAGCAGCTCTGCTTGGGGTACATAGGGAACAGAACTCTCCCCATGGGGATTTGGGCCATGCTTCAGCAGGCTCTGCACCTGTCCTCACCCCTCAGGGCCTTTGCTATATGCAGCCCCGGCTTCATATCTCTGCAGGATGCTTTGAAACCCGAAGCGCTTTCCAGAAGCGTTCCCTGTGCGCACTGATGTCCGATGTCTGTCCCGCCTTTCGCCTCTCAGTGCTGACAGTCTCCGTCCTTCTGGCAGGAGGCGACAAGGTCAGCGCTGCTGAGCTCCGTCCCAGTTGAGCCACCATGGCTAGAAAGGGGCTGGGACTTCCTCAGGAGTGGTTGTCCACACGTCACCAAGATGGAGGTTGCCATGTGCATGGCAGCTGTGGGTATTTTAAGTCATTACAGGGAATTTATCAGCACAGGGTGGGTTATCCACTGCTGTCCTGCCTGCTCTTAGCTCTGGCTGCTTCTACAACAAGGGAGTCAAAACTAAGACTTGAATATGAAATACAGGCTAGTAGTGGTTTGTGTGCTTTAAGCTAAGGTTGCAGTGGGATGGCACATCTCCAGATCCAGGTCCAGGCTGCTTTTCTAGGCTCTCTCACATCAGAATAATAAATTGCTGTAATGACAAGTGTTTGTTCTTCATAGAATCATAGAATGGTTTGGATTGGAAAGGACCTTAAGATCATCCAGTTCCAACCCACCTGCCATTGGCAGGGACACCTTCCACTCGCCCGTGTTGCTCAAAGCCCCATCTAACCTGGCCTGGCCTCGCTGTGTGATTGTGATAAAGGCTCTGCTTTTCTCTATGCCAACCAGAAGGGCAGCCCTGCTGGGCTGAGCTGCTGGACGTGGCTCCTAGCCTGACCCATGCAGGGTTGCATGGCTGCTGCGCATCCGTTTCACAGCTCGAGGTGCCTTGCACTGACTGCTGCAGGGATTGGTAAAGCGCAGGAGTGCTGGAGTCCCCACTGCCTTGCTTGTCCAGACCCACCATTGCTCCTGCTTCCTCCTTCACCCTCTGCTACCCTTGACCCTGGTGCCTGCAGGTTGACTGTATGGAGTAAACCGTCCACAAAAAGCTGTTTTTTACCCCCTGCAGGAGCCTTGGGGGCTGTTCCTCCCATCCAGGAGGCACCGTTTCCTGGCACTCCACCTCCTAAGTGGTGAGTGGTAGGAATGCGAGTGATGCAAGAATTGCCATCACACCAGTGGGACACCAAAGGTCTGACCAGATGAGAGCTCTAAATTTAAGGGCTTGCTGGCAAGCCATGTGTGTGTTAGTGTGCCCTTTTGTGACCAAGCTAAAGATAATTCTCCTATCTGGACCAGCAGCTGCGCTGTAAGTGGCATAAAGAGACTTCTCCGCTAATGAAGAGCGATCATGAAAACATGATCTGCCCTAAAGAGTATGGGCAAAGCTGGAGAGATGTGACTTGGGGTATGGCCCTGACACTGCAGAAGCTGAAAAGAGGCCATTTATTGAAACTCAGTTTGGCTCCTTGAGAAAATGAGCAGGTGTTGCTGTTATTTTAATGTAAATGCCACTTGAGTGAATAACAGGACTTCTTTAACCTGTAGGAAAAGCCAGTTTAAATTACCCAGAGTTCAATACCCTCTGCAAAAATGGAGCCAAAGACCCCTATATGTGCCAACTGTTCTATGGAAATTTCAGCAAAAAAGCAGACTTGAACATGTTTTTGTGTGTTGTAATGAGTGTATGTTTAACTCATTTGCATATTTTAAACACACTGACCTTTGTAGGTCTACTACAGTCTTTTAGAGCTGGCAGAGGTCAGTTACGTGTGTGTGATTGCGTATGGCATTTTATAGTAGGAGACATGGGATGAACCCCTGGGTCAGAAGGGCTCATCCAGATAGGTCAGCTAGTACATTACTCCTCCTACTCGTCTCGAAGGGTTGGTTTAGGTGTGCAGTAACGCTCGGGTCAGCTGCTTAGCTTACAGCAGCACAAACACGTGTTCTCCTGGGGAAGGTGGGTCACTAAACAGCACGTTCAACTGGCAGCTTCCTGAACACAAGTGGATAATACTTCTTGATCTCCTTCTGGCCTTAAAACATGAAGAGGAGTGCTGCACTGCAGCCTTGTGGAGGCTTGCAGGGCTCAGAGGTACTCAGTGATGCCACAGATCTGTTTTCCCATCTGGTGACTATGTTATCTGTAGTGCCATGTGCAGAGAGGTGTTACTGGGGGCTTGTAAGGGCGTGAGAGCTGCAGTCTATGGTTTCTCATTTATTGTCTTTCAAGGAAATAAATGCCCAGGACACTTTGTTAATATCTGGTATCATTTGACATCTGTAGCCAGGGTCCTGTACAAAGTGCTTCCTCAGTGCTGCCCTGTAAGCCTGTGATGGGACAATGTGCTAGTGAAGTTGTGCCACTCTCAGGAGCATGGGCTGTTACTTGCATGTAGGATATGGACGAGGGAGTCTGAGCAATCCTGGCTTTGAAGTCAGCCACGCTTTAGACATAAATCTTCTGCAACTCTGTGGTATTTGGCATTCCCCAGCCAGATGGGCCACCGTGTCGTCTTTCATGTACTCAGTGTTATGCTTCTTGTGTTCTTTTCAGGTCCTCTTTCAGCACAAAAGTGAGATTCACGAGACTCCTCTAAGATGTCTTACAGAAAGGAGCTAGAAAAATATCGAGACCTGGATGAAGACAAGATCCTTGGAGCTCTGACAGAGGAGGAGCTCAGGAAGTTAGAGGATGAACTGGAAGAGCTGGATCCTGATGTAAGTAATTTTTACATGGGATTTCTAGGTGACACATCTCTGTATTTGTAGGGGAATGGGCTGAACTAGTAATCTGTATCTAAGTGGGATCCTGTGCAGAGTCTGTACTCAGTGCAAGGATGGAGGAGACTGGCCACAGGTGAGCAGCAGTTTTGCTATCACAAGCACAGGCTACACTTAGGACTTTGTTTCTGTGATACTCCTCTGCCCTTGCCCCAGTTTGCATGCTCTGCTGTGGTTTATAGCACCAGTGTAAGCCAGTACTGGTGCAGCATGGTAAACCTGCAGGAACAGGATCTCTTGCTTCTGATCAGGCCACCTTGGAAGGAATGTTTTGGGATTTGTGGATTGTTTGGAGGTTATTTTCATAGCAAACTTCAAACACTCTGTATTTTTCTCCATTTAGGCAGAAATCCAAATCCCAAGCTTTGCGAAAAGGGGCAACTGCTTTTTAGCAATCTCCCAATATTAGCAAGAGCTACACATATGCAAACACTGGGCATGCTGATGCCAAGCAATGAAAGTTGTTTGGAGGCAGCAGTCCTGTGGCCCCAGCAGGGGATGCACAGAGCCAACTGGCAGGCCCCTGTATTACGGCAACGTTAGATGATGAGGCTGGGCACTGCCAAGTGAGAGATTGTTCCTGCCACAAGCAGTTAGTGTTCCTGGGGGAAATGATGGGCAGTGGTGGTTGCATCATCAGTATTTTTAATTGCAACACAGGAAAATAATTAAGAGGAGCAGGCTGGCTCCTGGGACTAAGTGTATGCACGGGCTGATGGGCTGGTTACAGCTGACTCGGAAGACGCAGAGTCAGGCAGTGTGCAGCGAAGGGTGCATAAAGGTAAAAACATCTGCCACTGCAGGTGTAGCCTGAGTACAGGAGTTAAAGCACAGATATCGCATGCTCATCCCTCGCAGCATGAAGCCTGAGGAAGCAAGCTGTTTCCTACACCTCCTTCCTTGTGCATTAGCGCAGTTCTTCTCTCTTGCTTCCTAAGGTTGCGCAAGCCTAATTGCTTCCTATTAGTCACTGTCCTTCTCAGGGTTTTCACTGATAAAAATTTTAATTATAATGAGTTACTTTTATTAGGCAGACATGGAAAGATCAGTGTGGTGTTCAAAATCACCTTGGATGTCTTAAAAAGTAAATGTTGATTTCTATCCAGCAAAGCTTTAAAGAACATGCTTAGTGCCAAATCTGGGAATAGTCTTACTGCATTAAGGCTGTTCTATATTTACACATAAGCAGGTGCTTACGTGCTGCATGTATCAAGCACAAGGCAACTTCCCATGGAGTCTAATGTGACTGAATAATGAGGCAGTCTGCAGAAGGGCTGAGGTTTGCAGGGGTTTTATTCTGAATGGAGTGACCTTCTCTGTAGTTTTGTGATGGACATGAAGGAGAGGAGACCACCTCAGCTCTCTGCTTTGCTCTGTGAAAGACAATGGCTTTCCCTGAACTGTTTTTTTGTTTGGACACATGGGGCATGTGGGCCCTTTGGCATGCACGTACAGGGAGAAGACCACTTGAGTGCAGCAGCTTGGTTCTGATGCTGTAGCTGTTGTGAAGAGGCAGCAGAAATGGTGAGGGTGGGGAAGAGGCTAGGAATAGCAGGAGGTGATGACTGAGAGCTCCCAGAGAAAGCTGCTGTTGTGGAGAAACACCCACTTGGCAGCATGGAGATCTTGCAGTGGAGCCAGAATTGGAAATGGTAGGGGGGGAAGGAGCATTACATGTCTTAAATTATGTGGGAATTGGTTAGATCAGGATAACCTTCTGCAGAAGGACAAGGAAATTGGAGAGGGGAGAGGGTTTGATGGATGAGGCCTGAAGAGATAACCTGTGTTTCTCCCCTCTCTGCCCAGAACGCACTGCTGCCAGCAGGGCTCAGGCAGCGGGATCAGACACAAAAGCCGCCAACTGGCCCGTTCAAAAGGGAGGAACTCATGGCCCACCTAGAAAAGCAAGCAAAGGATGTTAAAGACAGAGAAGACTTGGTTCCTTTCACGGGTGAAAAGAGAGGTATGGTCATCCTTTGCACCAAACTCCGTGTGTTGTGATGAAGGGACAATGCGTGCACAACAAAAGGGCTGTGCCTGAGCAGCATTGCTAAGCACGACTTCATTTTGACACCACTGGGGTGGTGGATCTGCTGTCTAGCTCCAGCCCATGTTGACTGATAAACTCGGGTGTGTCCAAGAGGTTGATGTGCTTGCTAATTTGGGTACCATCTGGTAAGTGATGGACAAAGGCTGTACCACTGTGCAGCCTCTTTCCGTCCCCATCCCACTGCAGCTGTGTCAAGCTCTGGGGCAGACATCGTCTTCTGTCCTCTCTTGTTCCTCCTCTGCCCTGTGAGCTCTGGAGGCTGCACTCTGTCTTCCAGCACTGCCTTTCATCCCCCATCCTTACGTTCTGAACTTCATCTTGTTATAGAGAAACCCCACAGCTCCCCTCAGCTGTGATGATCCCAACAGCTCCTATCTAGTCTTCATCACCTCTTGACAACCCCAGCCCCATTTCCAAGTCTTCTGCAGTTTGCATGTTTCTGTCTCCCTGCACCATACCCTGCACCTCTACTCTGTGGTCCTGGGGCTTTTGAGAAAATGGTTTGCTCTGCCTCGTCTCTTATCTCTTCTTCTGGCATCTTTTTCTGTTCTCCTGGGACATGTTGTATTATCCAAAGGACTTTCCTGCTCCTGTTAGCCCTCTGAATATCATCTGATGTGAGACACGGTTCAGTCTAATCCTTGCCTCTGGGTTCCAGGAGCTTCTCAGCAGCCTTTTTCTGGTGTTGTCTCCCCTTGTACCATGATCTCCCTGTGGCAGGTTTGGTTGCATGCTGCTCTCACTACTAGTTGCCTCATGTCAAAAAGAGGTGCATGAAAATTTAAGCATGTGAGCATGCTTCCAAGTTGTGGTGTTTCTCAAAGCTGCCTCCTTACTGATCCACATAGCTTGCTGTGAAAGAGCTTGTGTTAAATCTGTCCATTTAATAAAACTGGAGGTAGTAATTGTAGGAAAAAAAGGCAAGAATAAGAAAGAAAAAAAGAAAAGCTCTTTCCTTGAAAGAAGTAATTGAAAAGAGTAAATTGAGTGCCATCAGGAAGAGTGATTTAGCGACTTCAAGCATACCCTAGCCCAGCAGGTAATAGCAGCACTCAGCAGGAGGTGAAGGTATTTCAGGCATTTTCAGCCTCCAGCTCCTGGTCTGAGCTAATCATATTTCAATCTGATGTGATCTCAAACACATTAAATATATTTTACTTGTAACACACAGTTGAGTGAAGACATTACTTACAGTGACTGTGAAACAGAGGTAGCAAATTATATGTTCACAGCTGTGGAAATAAGTCACCGCATTTGCAGTTCAAAGGGTGATTTACTAGCTTGCCATGGGAGGTGCTCTCCCTGGCCATGCTGCTGGACAGGGTAGGAGTTGGCACGTGCATACACGCTGCAATATGATATATAATTCTGTGTTTGAATGCACCTATTAATTTAAAGTTCAAACTCATAATGAAGCATGACTGAGATATGAAACTTTCTACAACTAAACCCCGTAAGTTTCAATGGCGCTGAAATGTCAAGAGGAGTTGCTGTGTGATGGCAGAATTAAGCTGCCCTGTTTTTCCTGTTCCCTGCTGAACTGACCAGATGGTGTGCAGTTTGCTGAGCCACATGTCCAGTGGGACAGTGGTTCTGGGTCCCCACACCAAGGCAGAGCTGAGGGTAACAGCCCTTCACAGGCAGGGTACCAAGAAGGTGCCTGGCAGTGCAGGCACATATGACACTGCCTATTTTTGTTAGAGCAGCTATGTCCCAGGAGGCAGATTGCTGCCCTCTTCATCAGGGCGGTAGTGCGCAGGCAGGAGATGGCTGTTTATAGCAGCCTCTATTTCAAAGCAGGGGAGCCTGAAGCACAGTTTCCTCTTCCTTGAGGCTAAATTTAGCCCCTTCTGTTTCTGCACATCCCTGAGCAGCAGGATCTTTTTTTCTCCCCTTTGGTGCTGCTGACTCTGGTTTCAGAAGGTGACAAAAATAGTCCTGGCTGGTATGCCAGGCTGAGAGCTTTGCGCTCGCTATCTCTCTGCAGTGATCCTGGATTATCTCAGGGGAGGGGACTGCTCTGGGATCCCTCCTCCCACCCTGCAGCAGCGATGGGTTTACCCAACAGACTGCTCCCTGCTGTGGTGGTATGAAACACCACAAGCTTCATCCTGTGTGTTCTTCAGTGGCAGCACGGACAGGCGCAGGTAGGTGCCCCGCTGTTAAATCTCAGACCTTCACAAATAGAGCTGCCCACCCGCTGGCACTGTGAGCAGTGAGAGCTGGGAGCATTGCATGCAGTGCTGCGAACCACTCCCGCTGCCCCACAACTCCTTGGGATGCAGCCAGCTTTGGCAGAGAAAGCGTTGTGGCTTGCCTGGTGATCATCCTGGGCATGGCGTCTGACAGGAGCCCACGGCATTCAGAGCTGGACTGGAACTGTGCCACTTGCTGCACAGCCCCTTATCCAGATGGGCAGGCCTTCATAGAAAAGGGCCTCAAACAAGCAGCTTTATGTTAAAAGCTGTACCTATTGCTTTGCAACTCTGACCTGTTACTGTTCTGGGAGATAGAGCATGGAGGTCTCCATCTGACATGCCCTCTGTGTCTCTCTCCCCTCCTTGTCCTAATGTTGAGCTCAATGAGCTGCCCGAAACCTGCTTCTCTTTGTACCCCGTGTGCTTGCCGGGCTGCCATCCCTGCCTGCTGCCAGACATACTCCACTACCTCCTTTCCACCCTCTTCTGAATGATGTATCATCTGCCCAGTCTCCATGGAGTTAGCAGCAGGAGCTGTCTCCCTGGCAGGACCGATGCTGCACAGTGCTGGCCCCAGGCCCCTGGCCTCTCTGGTCCATGTGAGAGCTGGCAAATCTCCATCCCTTTCATGCAGCCTTCAAGGAGGTGAAGTCCAGGGTCGGGCTGTGTGTGGCTTTCTGACTGCTGTGTGTTGAGCCATCATTGTCCTCTACAGACGGACTGCCAGGCTTTTGTAGGTGCAGCCTCTGTGCTGGTGAAAGAGTCTAGCTCCATGGCTGGAGGTGTCTGGCATGTGCCTCCTTGCTCACACCTCAGCACGACTCAGGCCAGCCTAATGGGAAGGGATTCAGCGTCTGCTCCAGTTTTTCTCTAGGTCTTTGTGCCCCCCGTCCTTTCCACTGTGCAGATCTCACCCACAGAAATGCATCTGCACAGCTAATTGTAAGACAGGTGCTGTAGCTATACTGAGAGTGACCTTGTTTTGCGTTTATAGGAAAAGCTTGGATCCCCAAGCAGAAGCCGATGGATCCTGTTTTGGAAAGTGTGACCCTGGAGCCGGAACTGGAGGAAGCCCTTGCTAATGCCTCTGATGCAGAGCTCTGTGACATTGCTGGTAAAATAGTTTCACATGAGTCAAAAAGTTTTTTTGACTACTAGTTTCTTTTTGTTTGTTCTTTCATGGTAAATGAGCCATTGAACATTTTGCCATTAATCTGAATGCTGGCAAGTTTGGACAGGATTTATTTATTTGTTAAAAAAAAGAGAAGCGTGTGTTTAAAGTACTCTCAGCTCTTGTAATTTAATCAGCAGCATAGACCAAAGCTGAGGAGAGAGAAGAATCGTAGAATCAACTAGGTTGGAAAAGACCTTTAATGTCATCCAGTCCAGCCATTACCCCAGCACTGCCGAGACCACCACTAAACCATGTCACTGAGGGCCTCATCTACATGGTTTTTGAACCCTTCCAGGGACAGTGACTCCACCACTTCCCTGGGCAGCCTGTTCCAGTGCCTGAGCAACCTCTCTGTGAAGAAATGTTTCCCAATATCCAATCTAAACCTCCCCTGGTACAGCTTGAGGCTGTTACCTCTTGTTCTATCACTTGTTACCTGGGAGAAGAGACTGATCCCCACCTCACTACAACCTCCTTTCAGGCAGTTGTAGAGAGCTATAAGGCCCCCCGTGAGTCTTCTTCAGACAGGCCATCCAACCACTTTCCAACCAGTAAAGTTTGGAAAGAGTCCTCTGCCGCAGAAAACACATGGACTCAGTCAGAGATCAATATGATCAGACAAAAGCCATTTATTACAAAGCCTTAACCCCTTAAATACTATTTCTTACATGCACTTACAGTGATTTGGCATATTATGATTGGATACATGTCCTGAAGACCCTTTGCAACTAGCATATAATTGGTTAAGCACAGGTGTGGGAACTTGACCTCGAAAGCTTGCCAACAGTCCACAGTTCTCATTACATCAGTGAATTCTAGCTTCTTCTTATCTTGCTTGCTTAAGCTTCCTTGGGCCTCTCACGGCCTTGCTGTGTCTTTCAGGATTATTCAGAGTTTATGTACCAATTATCCATTCTCCTGTGAGAACACTGTCTCCACGGTCCTCCTATCCAAGCCATGAGCAGCCAATTTCCCCAGGAGAATGCTGTGGGAGACAGTGTCAAATGCGTTACTAAAGTCCAAACAGACAGTGTCCACAGCCTTCCCCTCATCAACCAGGCATTTATCAAGGGAACAGAGTGTGCTTTTTAATCTCTTTTGCTGACTGAATCTTGCAAATTGCAGCCTACCACCTTCAGGAGCATAGCTTTTTTCGAGCCAAATCTCTGGGAAACAATCAAGCAGACCCAGTGAGAATGTGGATTTCTTGTGTAACCTATTATAAGAGCTGCCAGGTTAGAGTTGACCTGCAATGGATGCTCAGGGATGTGATTTGTTAAGAAGCTTTTCCAGCTCATTGTAAAGCCATGGTTTTATTGCGATTTGTGCGGTCAGTCAGATTTGTGAGTGTTAGTTCACAGGTAGGAGAATCCAGCATTGAAAGGTTGGTACACTTGATGACTGAGAAGCAGGTTGAAATGCACAGCAAGCTGGAGATGGTGGCACAGCAATTTCAGGTGCCCCATTCAAGCCCTGACAGTGAGCTCTCCACCAGGAGGCTCAATGAGGTGAGGATGGGCACGGCCCCTACCTACCTGAGGGGCTTACACCTCCATGCTAGGCAGGTTCAAGCAGTGTCCCATTGCTGCTTTTCTGGCACTGTTGTCTGAATGGAGGTGACCTCCTGCAAGCCTCTTTGCTCTGCCACTTCAGAGATGACAGTACTGGTATCTTGCCAAAGCCAGTAGCGTGGACTTAGCTCTGTGACTGGGATTGTATATGTCTTAGCCAAAGGAGCATGTGAACACCACTGTTGTGGTTCAGCATTACTCTCAGACTAATGCCAAAGCACAGCACTGTACCAGCTGATAGGGAGAAAATTAACTCTGTCCCAGCTGAGACCAGCACAACCTCCTGGTGCTTTACTGAGCTCACGCATCCCTCCTGGTGTAGCAGTCAATGAGTATTTCAGTGCTACTGGTTCTTCTTCCAGTTCCATTTCCTTCAGACTTCCATACTCCCTAGCAGTATCCTCCTTGCCAGGAGTCTGTAAGATAGCCTGTAGAGTAACCACCCCAACTAGACATCTTCTACATAATAACAGCATATTCCACCTTAGAAATGCATTTCTGCATTAAGGCATCCAACATACGTACCCTGGCCACGCACTGCATCTCTGGGTTTTGCTCTGTACTTCTAGAGCCCTGTGAAGCCCTGTCCTATAAAATCTGCCTTTCTAAACTCCTTATCTGTGCAGCACTTATTTTCACAAAGAAATGCTGTTTTGGGGCACCTTGTTCTACAGTTGTTGGGAGAATGCACTTGAAGTGGCAGCAGGAGAACTGATGAGATATAAGCTGTGCTGAAACCTCAATATTGACAGTGGCAGTGTTGCTTCTGCCTGTTTAGCAAGGCTCACTTATAGGAGCTCGTTTTGCTCCTGCCCATTTAGCAGGGCTCATTGTCAGCCATGATGTATTGGATCCCTTCTTTGGCAAGGCCAGTCGGATAGGTCTTGTGGGTGGCTCCCATCAGGACCTGGAAGGTCTCCTGGGTCTTTGGTCAGCTGGAGGAGGCAGAAATTCTCCCCGAGCTCTTTTGGATAATACACAGCAAGCACCAGGCTTTCAAACAGCAGGTCTCTTTTGTCTACCAGCACAAGCTCTAGCCCACAAAACCCTGCATGGTCATAGCAGCAGATCCTTCCCTCTGTTCACAGTCCTGTCTGGTGGAGAGATTCTGTTGTCAGAGTAAGCTGTGTTTGGGGCATATGTGTGTCCCCAAAATGCTGAGCCTGCAAATGATTTCTGTGGGCTGTTTTGCACTCCTGAAAGCTTTATCTCTGAGTACATGGCAGAGAAGAGGTCCAGCTAAAACACAAACAGCAAACCCAAAGTGCCCAGCCTCACTCAGACTTTGAGATAGAGGCTGCTGGGCTCTGTGAAATCCAGTCAGGGATGTGCTAGGGAATGGATGGTGGTGTTTGTTCACATCCTTTGCTGCAGACTGTTCTGCTTGTGCAACCCAGACCTGGAGTTACAGCGAGCTGACACCATACCAGATGTCATTCATGTTATGAGCTTCAAGAATAGCCTTCTCCTGCAACTCTTGGCCCTTCTTGGCCAAGCATTGAGGAAATGGTGATAGACTGATGCCAGCCAAGCATAAGAGGAGCAGCTCATGGGAAAGCAAAGCGCCTTTGTGGTGGCATGTTTGAATTTTAGGGAGTTATGTCCTTTATTTATTTTAGCCACTGTGCACATCTGGAGGCCAAGATTTCTTCAAATGTGTCTGTTTATAGCAAGTGTTCACATGTCTGCATTTTTCTTTAGAAAGTCATATAGCTGTAAAAGAAAGGTTGATTAAAAAGCCAGTTTATTTTCAAACATGAGCTTCTTGTGAGTAGCAGAATTATTTTTAAAACAGACCCTTTGCCCGAATGTTTCTAAGCCATTGGCTTCCCACTGCCCATTTGCAGCTGGCACGAATGTCAGCAGATCCCCTTGTGCATTTTCATATTGGTTTTGCAGCTATGAGCCTGAGGTACACAAACTGGCAGAAGTTCAGCTTTTGGTCTCCTACAATCTTTGACTTTTGTTCATACCATCACTTTCTGCATTTTGTCTGAGCCACCAGAGCTTTAGCTTCTTACACTGTCAACTTCCAAGCTTACACAGATCAGTTCAAAGCACACCACCACCACTGCCCTGCTCATTGTTGAGTAAAAACATAGAGTGCATTGCCATGCTTCGGGTGGCAGTCAATACCTTGTATGTTGCTGCCTGAGGGGTCGGTTTGGCTCTGCATGGGAAGTAGCGCATCTCACACACTGACTGTCACAGTGAGTGGCACGTGCCCAAGGGGGATGAGGATGCGTGGGCTCCTGCTGGACTGGACCCCCTAGGTTAAATCCTACCTATGGCAATTTTAGTGTTTTATTGTCTTCCCCTCACTATTTTTGTGTGATGCTGAATCAAATTGGCTGCTGAGAAGCCTCGGCTGTTTGTCTGGTTTTTGTTCACAAGATGATGGTCCTCTTCTCCTATGAATTGTGCTACATTGGAATAAACAAGGGGGCATATCTGAGCCCTGTTGTGTATTTATGACAGCTTGAAGGCTTGGTCCCTCCTTTGTATGTTGTTCTGTGCTTGTCCAGGGAAAGGTGATGTGCTACAGGAAGCACAGCATGTATGCATCTTTTCCTGGCTTTGGAGCCCGTAGTAACTCATGTTCTCCTCTTTTTCTGTAGCCATCCTTGGTATGCACACCTTGATGAGTAATCAGCAGTACTATGAGGCACTGGGGAGCACCACCATCGTGAACAAAGAGGGGCTCAACAGTAAGTGATTTAGAGTGTCAGCAGGCTGCAGCATTTGGCTTTGAAGCTGCTAGCAGAGGCAAAGTGGGAATTAGTTTTAGGCTGAATGTCCTCCATCACCCAGGTTTGGACCCAGAGAGCACTTAGCAGCAGGCACCCTGTCCTGCACCAGTTGGCCCCAGTGACAGGCAGCATTGGTGTATATACGTGAGCACAGGTGGAGCTGGTGAATGCTTGTTCAGTCTCTCATTTTGCATCTGTGTCCAGTCACACTTCCCTTTCCCAGCACTGCTTCTGGAAGAGACCATGCTGCTGCTCAGGGTGCTTTCTGTTTCACATGTCTTGCTTGTCACTTGCAGGTGTGATTAAGCCCACACAGTACAAACCAGTTCCTGATGAGGAACCAAACTCAACGAATGTAGAAGAAACTCTGAAACTAATACAAAGCAATGATCCTGACCTTGAGGAAGTCAACCTTAACAATATTATGGTATTTGCTCCTTTCTACTCTCCTTAGTAACAGAACCAAATACTTGGGTTTTGCCTTCTGTGTATCAAGTCTATTTTGCTGCACAGTTTTACTGTAACACTGTGTAGCCAGACAAGGAATGCCAGTGCTTCCTATCCCTGTTTTGGGCAACAGGGATTGTTACCTGCTGTGGGGCAACGGTGTGGGGTTGGTAGCAGGAGGACTCCTGTAGGTGCCTGAAAGAGACAAGCTGTGTTTAGGGTAGTCTGGGAGACCCATCTCCAGCCTGTCTGGTTAAAAGCATTCTAGGTTGCTTTAGCAGTTCAGTCAGGCACGTTTTGGGGGCAGGGGGCTGTTTATGTTAAGATGGTGTGAGGAAGAAGGAAAAGTCCTGACACTTGCAATGACAATATGAAGAAACCTCCTTTCTTGCAGATAGCCCTGTCCATCTCCCACCCATCAGTTCTCTGGGACACCTTTACTGCTTGTAGAAAGCAAATCAGGGCACCAATTCTTAGTTGGCTCTGGGACACATACACATACTAAAAAATACAGTTTCCATCTGTCCCCCCTGACTCCAGGACCTCCATCCCATGGGCTCTGTTGAATGGTGATGACATATTCAAATAGCAAGAATGTGGTTAATTGCACATGCACATTAAAAACACTTGTGCCATGCCACCTGCACCTTCTAATAAGGAAAAGATTTTTACTTTTGTGTACTTGATTCTGGCTAGTGACCCTGAAGGTCCCTTGAGGACAGCAGGTTGAGGATCTGGCAGGGAGTCACTTTTGTGTATGTTGGACTCATGACTTTGGGACACGGTTTGGAGAACTGGGTAGCAGTAGAGATGGTAAACTGCTGGCCCCTGTGTTACGGCTTTGACTATACGTGATTCCACACAGTGAGATCCTGATAGTGTGGCAAGAACTCCAAAGTGAGGATAACACTTAAAATTTTAGACAGGAAAAAAATTGTGCATCTGAAAAGGACATCTGGAGCGCTGGATAAGTGAAAAATACTCACTTTGCAGGAACCAGAATAAGCAGCGTAGATACATTGGCCTGAAAGAAGTTGTGTAAAGCAATCAATCAGAGGTGTCTGTGGTTTGTACTTACAAGGAGATGGTTTCATATCTTTCTGGATCAAGCCCCGTAAGTGGAAATTTTCCTGAACATGACATTAATATTGCTGAGTGCTGTCATTTGTATTAAAAAGTGCAAGAACAGCACTTTCTAGGCTCATGGATCTTAGTTACATACATCTCCACAGCACCTGTGCTCCTAAGTAGATGAGTTTCTGGGAAATTAAATTAAACAGCAGGGACACTGTAGCTTCAAATCAAAGCAGTGAGCTATCAGCAGAGTGGGAAATTGAATTGTAGAATCACAGAATGGTTTGGGTTGGAAAGGGCCTTACATCTCATCCAGTTCCAACCGCCTACCATGGGCAGGGACAACTTCCACTAGGCCAGGCTGTTAAAGCCCTGTCCAGCATGGCCTTGCACACTGCCGGGGATGAGGCAGCCACAGCTTCTCTGGGCAACCTGTGCCAGCGCCTCACCACTCTCACAAAGAAGAACTTCTGCCTAAGAGCTCATCGCAATCTCTCCTCTGTCAGTTTAAAGTCATCCCCCCCATGCTGTCACTACATGTCCTTGTAAAAAGTCCCCTGTCAGATTTATTATCAGCCCCTTTAGGCACTGGGAGCTTCTCTAAGGTATCGCTGGAGCTTTCTCCTGGCTGAACAAGCCTGACTCTCTCAGCCTTTTTTCATTGGAGAGGGGAAGAAGTTGCCACGCTCCTTAGGCAACACTGATTATAGGAACAGAACTTGTAAGAACATTTATCAACCCCTTCTTAAATTACTTCTGTGCATTTGGTGATTTGACTTGGGTAAGAAACTTAAAGTATCATCTAAGTGTATCACATTTCTTCATATGGCTAATGGCCTAACAGGTTTTCTGCACTTCTTTTCACAGAATATTCCCATACCAACTCTAAAAGCTTTTGCGGAAGCTCTGAAAAATAACACCTATGTGAAGAAGTTCAGTATAGTTGGGACACGGAGCAATGATCCTGTTGCTTTCGTAAGTACTGTTGGCTCATCGTCTTAACGTTGTGACAGGAGCTGTTCCTGGGCAAGGTATTTTTGGAGTTACTGAGTGACTGCTTTTGCACCTCACATCACATTTGGCATGTTCCGCGCCTCTGATGTTTGATGCTAGTGAAAGCCAGCGACAGACAGGACATTTGTGGAGATTTGGGACAGACGTGTGGAGGTTTCAGGACACAATTGCTTAATCCCATTTTGTCTCATATTTGTCCTCAAGGAACTCCCAGAAGGCAGGTGGGAGACAAAAACTGACTTCCTAGTAGCACTTTGTAAAAGCAGTGAGTCTCTTATCCTACACCAGGGCCACCCCTATGGTTTTTGTTGGTACAAAGCCATACACTGCTGTGTGCACACCATCCCTCCCTTCGCACGCATCTACTCCAGCTCTTTCATATATTCCTTTGTGCAGACCTATGCAGAAGCAGGACTGCATTTCTTCTGTGGGTGATAAAGGGTCTTTCTGGCTGCTGCAAGTGGTCTTTCTTAAATATCAGTAGGGATGCAGGGAGGTGCTCAGCTTTCTGCCTGTCCCTCTTGCTGCATTCCAAGCTGCATCCTTGCACACACCTCCAGCACCACTGCAACTGATTTTTGGTCTTCTTCACCCTGCCTACCTCCACACACATACGTGCACACAAGTTGCCTGTTAGGAAAAACCCTTCTTTTTGGAGGGCAGGTGTAGCCTTCGCAGTATTTCAGGCACTCTGGACTGGGGAAGGAGCTTGTGCAGGCAGCACTGATGCTGTTTGAGGGCCCTTGGAACACCGTGCAGGAGCCAAGTGCTGTGTGAATATGTACAGGCCAGCCCAGATACTTGGACATTACCTGCTGGTCCTTCTGCTTCATGGCATAGATGGGTGCTCCCATGCAGCTTATGAAATGTCAGATCAGAACAGGGCGGGGTGGGAGTGTGCCAGCCCTCTTCTGGTCTTACCTGCTGAGGGAAGCAGAAGTGATTAATATGGTTGTGATGCTACTTGGGAAGATAACTTGGATGTGGGGAATCCCTTGTTGTTCAAGACAGATGCTCTTCTCTGTGCCTGCTGTGATAGGAAGTATCTCAGCCCCACACAGAACGAGCAGTGCAGAAAGGAGGCAGGGATGAAGCTGGACAACATCCCTGCCATCACCATGCTGGCTTTAGAGAGGTGAAGCTGTCACAGGGCATTCATAGGTGTGGACTGCTGTTTCTTGGGGTGGCCCTAAGGGTCTTTCCATACAAGGTTTCACTGTGGCCTCCCACATGCTCATGTTCAGGAATCCCTTTCACTCTACACAGAGCTCTCCCATCTGGTGGCGGTGAAACTGCACAGCATGTGGGGTCATCACAATGCCCTCTAGAGGCAAGGTTAGCTGAACCCCTGCTGCTGAACCCCTGAACTCTCACTGCCAGCTCTTCTTGCTCCCGTCTGCCCACAGGCACTGGCAGAAATGCTGAAAGTCAACAACACGCTGAAGAGCCTGAATGTGGAATCCAACTTCATTTCTGGGTCCGGGATCCTGGCTGTTGTGGAAGCGCTCCAGGGCAACACCTCTCTAGTAGAGCTGCGCATTGACAACCAGGTAAAGCCTGTGTCAGCAGGAGCTGTGACCAAATGAACGTGTCCTGGGTGCAGGAAACTGAGTGGCTGGTCAAGGTGGAGGGTGGCAGCCCACCACCACCACTGCCAGGCTGCACTGAAGATGTTTCAGCCCCTTGTTCCTGCTGCAGTTCCTGGGCAGCATCTGCTACTATACACAGTTATCAGCTTCCCATGGTGCTTGCGTTTCCCTGGAGAGCGGTAATGCAGCTGTCCACACCTCTCCAGTATCACACCTTGCTCTGAGCTCTTGCAGAGACTTAACTAATGTTTAGTAAAACTGAAATGTACAATGGAAAGAGAGCTCCAGTGTGTGCAGTGAGCAGGTGCTGTGGCACGTTTAGGTCCCCCGGGGACTATGGGGTGGTAGTAAACCCATGGGGTTTAAAAACAAACAAACAAAAAAAAGCAGCTGAGCTACAGGGAGCTCAGGGGCAGGTGACAGAGAGTTCAAAATCAGTTTCTCCAGACATCTCTTAGCTGCAGATCTGTCCAAGTCTTTGGGCAAGAGGACTTACAGGAACATCTGCTGCTGCAGTTGGAGCCACTTGGTTGTACAAAGAATAGGCCAGTGGTTTGTTTCACCAGCTCCAAGTCAGGAATGCCAGATGGACCAACGGGTCTAAAGAGGGAGGGAAAGGATGGAGATGGCAGATAAAAGTGCTTATTCTGAATCGCTCTCTGACAAGACCAGCTTGCTTTTCTGTTTTCTAAAGAGCCAGCCCTTGGGCAACAAAGTAGAAATGGAGATTGCGAGCATGTTGGAAAAGAACACCTCCCTGCTGAAGTTTGGGTACCATTTCACTCAGCAAGGTCCCCGGCTCCGCGCCTCCAATGCCATGATGAATAACAATGACCTAGGTGAGTCGGGCTGCAAGCCAGGGGGCACAGGAAGGTCCTGTGGGCAGTTCCTGGTGGGAGAAGGGCAGAAATGCTGGCTTGAAAGCCCTGGTGGATGCGCTTGAATTAGGAACCACCTCTTGAAGGGTGTGATGATGCCTTGCCTCTCGAGAAGGAAAGCAGCTTTCACTGACTGGCTCCCTAATGCAGCTGCTGTTGGAAAGGGTTGTGGTCCAAACCTGGAGACACTGGACAGCTAGATCTCCCAGAAGCAGTGTTTTTGGCAGTAACAGTGGGTCTTGTTGGGAAGGAGTGAGAGCTGCTAACGTGCTTCGGCACAGCACATGATACAGCATATGGCACATGGATTATGAGCTGCCAGCACTTGTGATTCCTGCCAACTGCTTATCTTCCTGTAGCTTCATTCCCACTTTAACAAGGAGATGAAAAGTAGTAGAGTTGAACTTTGGAGGTAGCGGGCCTTGGCCCGTCCCCTTCGGCAAAACAAATTGGAAGTGTTTCTAAGGAGAGGTGGGAAGCCACATGGCTTTGAGTTATCTTTATACCCTCAATGAAGTGATGGGAACTGCTTATGAAGCAAAACGTGGGCAAGTCTGCAAACTGCCACTTCAGCTGATGCATGCAGCAGGGGCTTTCCGCTGCTTGGCTACAAGCTGCTGTAGGGCGCTGGGAATCAGTCCTGCAGAGCAGTACTGAATGCAGGCAACATTCAGGACCAGCCATGCTGCTTACAGACTTGACAGCACCAAACTTCTCAGCAGCAGCAGACAATGTATCTGGGAGAAATAAGCAGAAGTTTGCAGATACCCTTTCTGTACCTGAGGAAGAATTGTGTTCCTCGGAACCATGGCCAAACATAGGAGTATATGCCAGTTCTTCAGGGACCACACTGAATACTCAGTATTATGGTTCACTGCACATTTATTCTGCCTGTGGCTGCATTCCTGGTCACTAGAGAGCTCCACCAGGAAAGGCTATTTTTTGTCCTTTTGAAGAGAGCAACGTTTTTAATGACTGTGCAGCACCTGGCATTCAAAGTAATCAGCTGGAAGATTTGAATCCAGTTCCTGCTGTTCATTGTTTTACTGTTCCTGCTGTTAAAGGGAAGAATTCGTAAGTTGCCTTCCAGGTAACAGTTGTCAAATTTGCCTTTATTAAGATCTGCATTTTTTTGTCTGATCTGATTCTTGTTTGCAGCTCATACTCATTGATCAGATGGTCTCTGGCAATAGCATCTCAGCTCTACACCTGGATAATGTATAAGTACAGAAAAACTTTATTTTCCTCCCTATCATCAATAGCTCTCTGCTTGCGCTCCACTCCAGTGCTCTTGCCTACCATCACCTGATGCTGGCAGAACTTGGTTTTGGTCTCACAGCTTCTGTACTCTGAGATGCTCTGTATGAACCAACTGTGAAGGCTTTTATATTCATCCTCATAAGCTAACTTCTCCATCCCTTTATACCTTTTTCTCCCCTTTTTTCCTTACATGTTTCTTGAAAAGTTGTGAGTGTAGCTCTCAGAGCTGTACATCAGCTTTAGAAGTAGGTATGAGGCTGCTGTGACTGTGTTAACCATGATCAGAGGGCTGGAGGCTGAAGGCTTAGGATAAGAAAAAAAGCTAATTTTCTTTTCATTTGAAAGGGCAATTAAGAAAAACTAGCAAAGGAAAAACTGTGACATCCACCTCTTGCTTTTACATCAGTTAGCATCAGGTGATGCTTTGGCCAGAGTCACATTATAAACTGTGTGAACTACAACTGACTGTAGAATAAGGGAGGTAAGGCTGAAAGTAGCTTCTGGCCCTAAGAATTCACAGGGATGGAAACTTCATCTTACCTTCCTTGATTTTAAACTGCGTAAGGCTGTGTCTGCTGCTTAATGCAGGAATTCAGAAGCTGATGCTATCCTCTTTCTTTCCTGGCAGAAAGTAGGTCTCTCGGCTCCTTTCCGCAGCGGGCAAGCTAAGCCTGCCATCCACGTCTTCCCGTTGCCATGACTGATTCCTCTTCTTCTTTTTCAGTGAGGAAGAGAAGACTTGCAGAGTTGAATGGGCCTATTTTTCCCAAGTGCAGAACTGGAGTGTAATTCCTGGCTGTGGAGATCATTCCCGGTGATCTGTTCTACACTGTGGAAATCTAAAGGCAATAAGTGCCTTGACAGAGTATTTGTGGTGCCTCGGTTCTGTTTTATGCACTATCAATCAGTTTAAATTAACTAGTGGCTGTAGTTGAAGATTTTACCCAGTAGGACTGTTGATGTTTTCTGTAGAGTTCAAACTATTCAAGCCAATTTATGCAGTCTCAGTTTTGAGTACATCCCAGGGTAAAAGTGATTCTTAATTAACCTGGGACTTAATTTTTCTATAAACTTCCTGCACAGTGTTTCATACGGTCAGGATGTGGTATGCATGAGTGAAAGAAACAACTGCTCCACACAAATTACAGAAGTATTAAAAAAATACTTTATTTTTCTTCCCCCAAATTGATCTCAAGCAACTATGGAGGAACAGTTAGTTTAACAAGCACTTCTACTACCTGAAAACATGGCTAATTTAAAGAATTGTGAATTACAGGTTTTTACTGACCTTTGCTGAGGCAATTTGTTGGAGGTGCTGTTTCAAGCACATCCTCATGTTTCATTTTCTCCAGCTCCTAATAATAAGGAACTTAAGGCCACCAATTATAAAACAAAAGTCTCAAAAATTGAGTGGTTTAGGATTGGCTAATAACTCTTCTATCCTATCCATGTCTTCTACCCTATCCATGCCTGAAGAAAACAGTCCCCTTTAGAGAAATGACGCAAATACTAAGCCCACACAGATGGCCAAACTAATTATCTAATCCTTACTCGTTCAGTTTCCTAATGTTAAAAGTGTGTGTCCAAATACTCACTGGAAACAAGTCACATTCTTTCTCTTTGCTGTTTTGTCTGGATGACCATGTTCACTAATTAAATTTTGTTCTGATGGGGATTTTCTTTTACTGCCATTCCTAATGTCTGCATAAGTGCAACAATAAATGTGCCCTAGAAAAGCTGGTCAATGAAATAGCCCAACTCTGAATTTACACTGCATATAGTCCAATAGCTTTGTCAGTCTACCACCCACCATCCAGCCTGAGAGGAATTCCCCACAGGCTTGTGTAGCTCCCAGACATGCAGTGGACCCACCCCTATCCCATCCAAAACTCCTGCTATTAACCTGGGTGGGATCCTGCTCTGTAGGAAGAGTCTCCTGTTAGAAGCACTGCCACACTAGAGCCTTATTCCTGGTCTGATGACGTGCCCTAGAAAATGTTTTCACTTGCTAGATATCTGTCTGTACGCATCTGTTAAGAGTGACGTTTTGCAGCCTTTGATGCATACCCCTGCAAAGTCCCACAGATTCCTTTAGAGCTTGTGCACAAATGCCACCTGTGATTTAGCTCTGACCAGTGAAACAGAGCAACACTGTACTTTCAGCAGTGTGGGAAATGTGTCTGTTGCTCTTCAAAGCTTAATAAATGCACCCATGGTGTCAAATAAAATGCTTCACTGTAGCTTCTTCCCCCTACCCTGAAAGTTCCTATCAGAAAATGAAAAGAATACAACAGAAAAATACTTGAAAATATACTGAAGAAGAAAAAAAAAAAAAAAGAAAATAAACTGGCAGACAGCCTCTTCCTTCCATATGCAAAGACTTCAAAATGGTCAACTAAACCATCAAATCCGAGTCACAATTTCAGTGGAACCATCCGCTCAGATCTGCATGGTACAGGCTCAGCTCTTCCACGGGCTTCCGACAAATATAAATGCATCTTATCCTGGGAAATCCTGACAGTGCTAAGACATGCAAGGAGACTCATCTGCAAAGCAAGGAGCACTACATGGATACTACAACAACATTTTTTCGTAAGTGAAAAAACCCTTGAGAAGGAAAAAAGAAAGGCCTGTGTTTCACTATAGCAGCACCTAAATTAACCATGCAGCCCAAACCCACAGTAAGGTGACAGGACTCAGCTGATTCTTATAGAGCTGCTTTGCTGAAAAATGCATGCGAGATCTGTGAGGAGATGGGCTGTGCTGAGAGGCATCAGGTTTTGTGGTGAAAGGCATCAAGCTGTGCAGTGATGGAGCTACAAAATGGTGATGCTTGGGAGCAAACGGGTCACTGAGCCAGGAGCTCTCCAAGAAAAGGGAAAAGAAGCATCTTGCCGACTGCAGTATCTGGCAGTCACAGCCAACACTGCTTAACTCTCACCTCTCCTGGAGCTATGTGCCTTCTCTCAGGCACTACCCCTGAGTTGCCTGGCATCCACCACACAGGATTTCACATGACAAGTTCTTATTTGTATTAATCTGACAAAACTAACGAATCCAGAAGCATGACAGAGAAGCTGCTCATGGGCTAACTCGCAAGAGGGAAGCTAGGGATTTCTCTTACCCCACTTCTCCCATCTCTGCAGCAGAGGGAACCTGGCTTTATGGGCCTCCATCTGTACACCTCAAACCCTTCTCCTCCCTTGCCTTAGTGCAGCAAGGACCAGAAGAGGTCCCATGGTTCCCCCCTGACTTTGAGGTAGAATCTACAGCTGCCAGGAACTCTCAGAACTTTATCTCATAGCCAGGTCTACCATATGGCAGACAGCTAGCTAGGTTTCAGCATTTATTTCTGCAAAATTAAGCACCTCCAACATAGCAGTGGAAATATGTTTGTGCATGACTTTAAAAATTACAGTGGAAGCACTAAAGGTTATTTAGCATCACAGGAGGTTACATATAAAATATAGTTGTTGCCATTCTGTCCTGACAAGTGGCATACAAACAGCTTTCCAAATAGATTACAGTGTTCCAGCCTTGCTGATGGATTGAGTTATAATCTTGTGTTCTTTTCAGCCTACTACATGAAGAGAGTACAGTATGCAAGCCAGGCACTCCCAGCAGTGCTCTAGACCAGGCCTGCATGTACAGTTTGCATATTTTTCCACAAGTATTCCAGACCTCAAAAACACAGAGGTTAACTGGCCAGCAACACTTGGCAAGGAAGATCCAAGGGGACCTGCTCAGACTTCTGCTGAAGGTGTCTACTGATGGGAATTTTCCAGTTTCTTCTCCAATATGGCTTGTGCACACATTTACTATTAAATACCATCCTAGAAAGCTCTCCAAAGGAGACATCCATAAGTTCCAGCTTTGCTTCATGAAGGGAAGGGTCATAAAAACAGTTGCTGAACCACTGATTTCATGGTAACAATACCGGAAGACTGAAGAAATGCTTGCTATGGCTTTAATGGAACCAATGCCCCGTCTGTAAGTTGCCAGTCGAGCCAACAAATGAGGCTGAATTAATAGCACGGAGGGAAAGGTTACAATCTGCATGAAAATAACCTTGCCCTAATTGTCATTAAGGGCTGCAGAAACCTGAGTAAACTGTTTTCTTGCTTTGAAAAGCAGTTGCAAGTAAAAAACCACCCAAAAAAACCAGCAGTGTGATTTCACTTCCTAATGACTAACTACTATTCAGTACCATGAAGTTTCTAAGAAATTTTTCAGTCCAGACATACCTTCTAAACTACTAATAAAACCTTTCTGTACATTCTATGGCATGAGGCACATAAAGCAGCAGGCGGACAAGTACTTTGAGCTCATATGCTGTGGATCCCTTCAAAGACAATTTCTTCAGTCATACGAACTGGAAATCACAGACATCTCTATGGGCTGAGTTTTTTCAAAAGCTTAATTACAAAGCACAAATGCTCCCCAAATCTTGAATTATTTAACTTGAATAAAGGATCCTGTATTCTCCTTATAGTCGCTACTGACATTTATGCACACGTCAGCATCACTTTCAGTGCCACAGTGCTGGTATTTTGACAGCCTCTGTGCTCCCTTCTCTGTGTCTCAGTTCCAACATGCTTCAAGCTGTTGTTTTTTAGTACTGCAAGCAGAGCTGAGCCCTGGATATTTGATGTACAGACAAGTTAAGGAAAACAACAATTCCTGGAGAAACAGAACACTGGAATGAGGGTTGCTTTTGCTGCTCATCCTACAGGTCACACCAAAGAAGTGTGATGGGACATGTGGGCCTTTGCTCCAGTTACCAGAGGGATCCTTACTCTGCCTTCAGCCAATTTTAGGCGGGCGTCAAGTCAGACTTCGTGTAACTACTCCTTGCTACTCACTGGTATAAACCAAGGGAGGCAGACAGATGGCGTGTACATGGAAATATCTTCAGCTCCAATCCAGTCACGTACCCACACCAAACTGACACATCTGCTGTTTTCACACCCTAACTACTGAAGAAAATGCATGATCAATGGAGAGGCTGGACAAATCGATCTCCATGCAGGAGGAAAAGAATGGAATTATTCTTATGTCCTTTCAGTTTCTTTTGAATTGTGAGCATCTGTGTCCCATCACACAAACTCCGCTCCAAAATCCCCATGATAGAGGCCACACTACAAGACCCAAGAAAGGGAATCCTGTAGTGCTAGTGGTGGGTTGGGCACACTGGTAATTTATGGTCAAGTAATGGATGGTTTCAGCACGTACTTTAAGTTTAAAGGCAGCACATGAACAAGACTTTCAAAGCCAACACATTTTCATGGTTTCCAAACCTAACTGAGTAACAGGGATCTGGTTATTGAAGCCCTTTGCATTAACACGTGTCAGATTAGCTAATGAAATGGCTTAATTTTTTCCTGCCACCAGCATCCTTTGCGAGACATCTTCAATAGGCACCCTTAGCCTTCTCCTTGTACAATCACATTCCTCCTTAAGTATCTGTCCTGAAGCCCTTGAAGTCAATTTGAGCTCTTTCTCTTGACAAACAGGACAGCAGGCTGTAAGACCTTTGTTGCGACAACTTGGACATGCCAGGACAAGCTGCCGGCAGTGCTGGCTGGAGCAAAGTTTATACTGGTCCCACAGCTCCCCACAATATCTGCATGCTGGAGGGAGGAGGAAAAGAAGAAGTTAACACCCACACTGCCCTATCTGTCCCCCTTACACAGGGCTGCCAACTCTCATTTGAGTGGTTATCTATTGTCTTCCAGGCTTCTAATTCCTGGTTAGCTTGATCTTCTAGAACCTAGTTCATTTTTAGACTTCTGATTTTGTTGTAAGGTCCTTGTTGCCAAGAAGAAGAAAAATATACTGGTGGTAATTAAGCCAGCATGCAGGAATGTTGACTTCTTGGGAGGCCGTGCCATGGGACTTTCTTCCACCTAAAAGCAATGGCTTGTGCAAATGTGGTGCCATTTGCAGTCCTGGTAGTATCCTTCCAAAACATCACAGGTTTTAAGCCTTTCACTGAAAGCTACAGCCCAGTTTAGCTGTACCATCAAGAAGGTGCCTACCCCAACACTTCCCCTTGAAATTTCCATAGGGATGGCTGTGATGTATGAAGAGAACGTTCCGTTTCTACACCAAGCCAGGCACCTTCAAGATATATATGGTAACTACAGAGGAGGAACAGGAGGTTAGGCTCAAGAAGCTACCCACTCAAAGGAAAAAAACAGCACTGCTTTATAAAAGGGGTTGGGGCAAATTCCATCTACTTGTATGTGGCAACTGAGAAGAAAAAAAAACAGGTAATTCATTTGCAGTATCTGAAAAGTGACCCCAGCCAGAAGTCCAGGCAAAAATCTTAAGAGCTTCAACTAGAGGTCACTGAAATTCTACAGGGTACAGAAACTTTTAAAACATGAAAATAAAGTGCTGTAGAGCTTAGTGCCCCCACTCTTGAAGTGCCTGGCAATCAGTGCTGATGTTCAGTAAGATTACAGAGAACAGAGGAGCAGAAAACAGCTGACACCAGGAGAATTATTTAATGCTTCAGTCACTTAGCCAACCACAGGCTGATCAGCACTGTGGGCAACAAGTGAGTAACAACAGTAGTAGTGCTTGATGTACGCCTCCATTGCTGCAGACAGCTTGTTACAGCACCTGTTCTGCAGGGGATGCTTCCTTTTACTGCTCCAGTTTTAGGGAACTCTGTTTAGTGACCCCCTTTTCTCTCATTTCTGTTTTATGTGTTAAAGCCATAGAGTTGGTAATTATCCTGAAAAGAGATAGCACTAAAACAAGAAAGCAACTATCAAGAAGAACTACACAGGCTACTACTACAGGCTGTCCCATCCTGCACATCTCTGTGAGAACCACTGACATAGCGTCCCTGCCTTCTGCACTTACATTATCTAGTCCTACCTGAGATGATATCTTCATTGGAACAAATGGCATAACGATCATCAAATACAAACAGCTTCCCCCTGTAGAATCCATCTGGGAACTCTTCCAGGTATTTGTGAATTCCACCTTTTAGCTGGTAAACCTCTCTGCACACTGCCTGTTTAAAGCATATTAGCAGAAAAGCTGAAGGACAGATCACTGGTGGTGTGCCACCATTCCCAGAGCAAATGTTTTAAATGCCAGCGATCAACCAAAAGCAGCAGCTTCTCAGTGATCATCAGATGATCTGTACCACATGCACCCACAGCTCTAGGCAGTGCCACCAGAGATCACATGGCAGCTCCACAATGCTGAAATGTTCACATGAACCCAAATGTGCATTTAACGTTACAGTCCAAAAAAGGCCTGTAACCTCCTCAGCTGAGGGAGGTTTAATGTATCACAGATCAAATGCTTTTGAAACTCTGTGAACCTCTGCTTATTCTGCTTTTATGTGGCAAGCTGTCAGCTGGAACAGTATTTCTCAAGAGTTCATACTGATGCAGCAGAATAAAAAAAAAAAAAAAAGAAAAAAATCAAGGTTTAAATCTCCGGGCAACATTGGAACAATCTCTGGAGCTGTTCTCTTGCTCCCCGAGGGAAGGATCCAGAAGAAGAGTGGGACATAAAGTGCAATTAGAACAATGTAATGTGCTGGATTTAGTTCCACAGCACTGCAAAAGCACGGATTGGCTGATTTTCACCACTTTGAGGTGCTCAAGCTGTGCAGTAATGACCACAGAGCATAACTGTATAAGACAGAGCTTGTGGAAGCACTGCAGAATGCTCTCAAGCTCCCCTAAAACACAGCTACAATAGTTACGGCAGACTTAATGTCTTCTCACCAAATGGGTTATATAATTATTTTCACAGAGCAATCACTGCTGTGACACTAGTCCATGCAAATCATCCTGAGCTGCGTAAAGCTACCTATGTCCTTGACGGACAGCATTAAGCAAGTGTGCATCAGAGACATTTATCTCCCCACCTGTTCATTGAGCAGTTTGTGCTCATTAGGAATTTACCAACAAAAGACAAGACAGCTGCTCTTAAAGCAACCTCAACTACTTAACACTTGTGCCCTCAGAACGGCTTCTCACCTTGCTCCGTAGATAAGCAGAGCCTCTTTCACAACGAATCCCTCCCGTGCAGTACATCAGGACACGCTTGTCTTTAAAAAGCTCCAGGTTTTCATCTACATAGCTGGGGAAATAGCTGAACTTCCTGATATCTGGAGCCAGGCAGCCCTGAAAATGCCCCTGCAATAACAACAGATGGCCATGTGACTGGTTATAAAGCAGACTTGCATGGTAAGGTCTTTGCCTTGAACTAGAGGAAGTAACAAACATTTGGGCCGCAACACTTGGCTCACTGCAGGTGCTTTAGGCTGCATTCATGCATAAAAATACCTGCTGAATCTGTAAGAGGATTCCAGGGACAGCATGTCTCCTCATTCAAACATAAAAGAGGGTGCTAAGCAGAGCAGAACTGTCAGAGAAAGGATAAGCCACAACACTGCAAGAGGGTTGGTGGGTGTGACAGCAGGATGTGCCTATTCTTTTTGACATACAGGGCAAGACAAAAATGCTGGGAAGCATCTTACATGTTATTCTACTTTTAGTTCAAACTATGTGGTATTCACTGGTCATGTTGTATATACTGCTTTGTCTTCTTCCAGCCCCAAGCTGTATAAGCACTTAGCAGGGCAATCTCCATAATGAGTTGCTGAGCAGGAGGTCCTCTGCTGCTTGTATCAAATATTCATTACTGAACTGAACTTTGCACATATTACAGTCAATCTGGAATCCAGTAAGGTTGCACCCCCACAATGTGAAATGCTTCTCACCAGCCCCTGTAACACACTGCAAGAAGCAGGCAAACAACACTTACTATTTTACTTTCATAGAAGTTCCGACAGTCCAGCAAGATGGTATCGCTTTGTCCTGGACTGGCCTGAGACAAATAATGTTCAACTTCTTTATGAAATTCCTGAGGGGATAAATGGATTCCTTAAAAAAGGAAAAGAAAAAAAAGGGGGAGGAAGGAAGGAAGAGAAAAGGATGTGAGAAGCTGAACTACAAAAAACTGTTAGGTACGATCTAGCTGATACAGATTCTCCTCAGATTTCCAAACAAAAATTTTCTATGACAGTTCACAGGCTTTTCATCCCAACTCAACAAGCCAAGTTTATCCATGTTTGGCTTCCTATTGACAAATGAAAGAAAACACAACATTGTTTCACATTACAGAAGCAGCAGCAGACAGGCGCCTGTCTTTATGATCTTTGTTACATCCCCTTGGCAACTCTTACAGTTGCAAGAGTGAAAAATGTCTCCCTTCCCTTTGCTCATCTTTCATTACATTTGGAGGCACAGAAGCATACAGAAATGCAATTTTTTCAAAGAAACTGTTGATAAAAATAGAAGATTTCCATAATAATGTATTAAAGTTTCTCAGCTTTCAGGATGCTTAGACTTAAAACTCCCAACCTACTGAAAACCAAAAAACCTCACCCACCAAATCCTGACAGAGTAAAGGGAAGTATCTCCATAAACCACTCTAAAATAAGAGGGAAAAAAGGGAAAAAAAAAATCCAAACATACATCCCACAAACTGTCAAAAAAACGGGGAAAAAATAATCCTCTGCTAAAAACACAGAAAGATACTGCAGAAATTTACCACCAACAAAACGTGTTGGTGGGAAAAAGGCCAAAACTGCTCTGTTAATTGCTATTTGCTGTGCTCCTGCTTACCACCTACGTAAGTGCCCTCATATCATAGCCAGTAACATCTTATTGAGCATAGTCCATACTAAGCGGCTACAGGCAGCAGAAAACAAATGTGTCTCATGTTAGGGGGATGGCATGACCCTGACATAGGAGGTCAACTTCCTTTTTACTTGAAAGGCAGGAGCATGGCTGTTAACTCCAACACAAGTAAAGTAGTCAAGTCAGCCATAACATGTTATGTCCCTAACATACAAACATGGATCCACTATAAGACTCCAAGGAAAGTTCTTCCTATACAACTTGGTTCTCACTGCAGCCTAACAATGAAAGAGCATTGAGGCTCTTTATATGGTGTCACTTCTGAGCAGTCTAAGCACCCACAGAACATTTAGAATAAATACATTCAAGCATTGAAATGTCTTTCCTAAGCATCACACAGTTTCACTTTACATCTTGCCTTTAGCAAGAGCCCAATGACTTACTCCCTGACTGAAGTAGAAGGTATGTCTCTATCCCAAAACAAAGTAACTGCTTGACATACATTAAATCTGTTACTGTTTTCCACAAAATAGAAAGTTAATTCCAACATTTTTCATGGCAGCTCACTTGGCAAACCAAAACCTGGGCCAGCAAATTCCCTGGACCAGTAACTTTTGACTACCAGTATCCGTATCTGCTTCTCCTGTGTCCTGACCACGGCAGAAGGCAATGTCTCTGATGAAGGTACTTTATTCTTCATTTACCTATCACTTGGATGAGAGGCTTTATTTTTCATTAAATGAACTTACCAGTTTCTTTATAGGACACTATCTTTGGATCAATGCCCATAGGTACAATTTCTTTGAATACTCCAACTCGAAGGTCTGTGAAACAGTGAGCTCCTCCTGCACTGCTCTAGGAAATTAAACACAAAAATAATCCACCAAACCTTGTCAGGTGTTAAGATTAGAATTACCCATTCATTTAACTTCTACAGCTCACTAGAATATGAGTGTGTCTCGGTGGCTGAGGGCAAGAAATGTCTCTCCTGCTGAAATTCACACTCTAAATGCTGAGGTTTAGGCAATGGACCCCTACCATGGACTGCAGACAGGTGACTTAGGCTATACTGCAGGTGAGATAGGCACCATTTGGCGTGAGGTGCAGACTTACCGTCGAGTGGGAAGGAGAAGAGATGTTTGTTAGAAACAATGTCACAAGCACTGTCAAGAGACAGTCAAGGCCCCTGCAGAACATGCTGCAAATAGAACTGTGGGGAGAAAGAAAAATTCTGTAGGAGCAGAGACCAGTACCTACAGTGCTGAGGCAGCAAAAGCCTACCAGAATGCCCTATAGTGCCAGCCACAGCTGCCATCACCATCTGAAGACAGCAGTATGCACATATGCTTAAGCAGAAGTTAGCACTTCTCCCTCCAGTCAGGCACTGAGAAACTCTTGACTCTGCCATGGAACACTTAAGTGTACACCAAGGCCTGCATGAACTTAAAGCAGTAGGTTTCTAGGCAAGCATCTCAAAATAGGGCAAAGAGGAAAGTGTGGAAATCCTTTGTGCAGGTAAGCATACATCTTGATGGTTTTGGAGTAAATGTTTGTTGAAGAATGATGGAGATGAAGGACACTCCCTCATTCACCTGTATGGGGGCTTTGCAGCTGCACCCATAGCTGCCAAAGCTTGTAGCTCGTGCTATCACTGCTCATGCTAACTGCTACTGCTGGTGAAAACTGGCAAAGATACCTAAACTAAGCAAGGTTAGGAACCCTAGACTTAGATCAGTGTTGCGAGATCAAAGTAGAAGTAAGCCTATTGTGAAGCAGTGTGCTTATTCATCAAAAATTAAACATCCTACATTAACAGCGCCTATATGTAGGAATTATTTTTTCATACCTTGAAATCCTCTTGGCACAGAATGTCTTTGAACAGAGGATGGGAAAGCATAGCTTCAACGTAGAGATTAGTAGCTGCTTTGCTTCCACCAACTGTCCCATTAATCCCTTCTGAAGCAACTCGTACCTGAGAGGCAAGAGGAGAAGCTGCGGCTAAGGATTGGTAACAGCAAAAAGAGATAACAGTGAAATTAGCAAAATATGCCTGGGTGACGAAAGGCAGACATAGAAGTATGCTCCAAAAAGAGACTACTAAGGCAGGGGAAAAAAAAAGATGGCTATACTGGAGCTGAACATAAAAAAAGACAGTAAATAAAACTAGAATAGGAACTTAGTAATCACTTTTGAGCCGTTTCAAAAGAATCATGTTAAGACAGCCAGAAGAGCTTGTGCAGTAAACAGCTAAATGCTAACCAGCTGACAGGCAAATCCTGCAGTCAGCATTAAAATCCCCACTGGAGGTCTGCCTCAGGAAGAACAATAGGATTGTGCCCAATGACTCACACAGCTCACAGGAAAATGTGAATATGCATAATATCGCATGTAATATTAAATTTCAGTGAGTCATTTTATCTCCTACACTGATAAATGAACAGAAACTCCAAAGTGGTAAAAAACCCAAAAAGATTGAATACAAAAGGCAAACTAAAAACCAACTGGTTGATAAGGCAAATGCTGTACCAGTCTTGGAGACGAGAAAAATACCAACCACCAGACAACACAGCTGAGCAAAAATACAGAAGTGAATGAGTCAAGACACTTCACTCTCAGATCTGTGCTGGTATAGAACAGGGTATGTGTCTACTGTTAGCAGAAAATAAAAAAAAATACTTAGGAAGATAAACCTAATCTCCTGCTTTGAGTTGCCCCTGAAAAAAAATCCTCCCTTCCCCTGACAGCTTTGTGAGGCTGAAATTCACCTTTACACACATCTTCAAAATGCCAGCTAGATGGAGCCAACTACCTTCTTTAGACTAGTCTGCCAGAAAAGAACAGACTGTGAGGAATGAGCACTGCTATCCTACAGTGAGGTCTTAGGTGTCAGCTGATCTGCTGTCTCTCCTGAGAGCACAGATTACAGTTTGGTGTAGCGATTCTGACTGGAAGACACACTGAGGAGTCAGTGATACACATAACACATAACAGTTAATCACAGCCAGCCCAGACCTGTGCTGTATGGCACTGCACCTTCAGCTTGACCTTCAGGCTGCACTGTGCTGCACGGTCCATGTCCCTCTTGTGTTGGGGACCCCAGAGCTAGACACAATATGACTGTCTGTATTACTTGCTTTATCGTTGTAGCATTAGCTCTTAAATAGTTAATAATAGCATAATTTTAAATTATACTTTACAGAGCCTCAGCAGCTTTCTTAATGGATCATAACAGACCAACACCTTCTACTGCAAAATACCTGGTTCTCCACATCATATTGCCCTGCACTCAGCAAAGAAGATGTTTCTTTAATAAGAAAATAACTGTTGCTTAAAACCTTACCTTGCCAGTGAGATGCAGATGCTGGCACAGAGCCTTTTGCCAAGCACAGAGTTCCTCTGGATCCTTCACCTCACAGTAACAGTAGTACAGAAGTACTTCTCCCACCTTGCTGTCCACAGCATGGCAAAGATGAACAAATAGAAAAAATTGTGTGTTGAAAACCACAAAAATATACTATTAGCAGTAACCATTCAAAAAAACAAGCCAGTTTTCTTCTGGCAGATGGAGAAAAACAAAGCACTAAGTAAACGTCAGAGGAATTAGTTCTGCTGGGTTTGATTTTGGGACTGGTTACAAAATTAACTCATCATGGCCAGTGGCCTACTCAAGTTTCTCTCAACACAGGACACAAGGACTGCTTGTTTTTTGTGTTCACAAGTGTCCCATTAAATGCTCAATTTGACAAACTTGCAACTGACAATTTAAGCGCTTGCACTACCTGACTTTAAAACCTCAAAACTTTTAGGGCTCATGATTCTGAGCAGCACAAACTGAATTCTCTCACAGTCAGAAACATCTTTGTGAACCTACTTGTAAGTAACAAATGAGCTGTTAAAGCACTTTGATGAGGGACCTGCAATTCTGCTCTTTCCTGCTACGGTCCTTCCTTATTGGTAGACCCTAAGACATCAAGTAACCTGTACAAGTCTGCTTTAAGAACAGGGAATGACACGGCTCTGATAACTCATTCCTCTGAAGTTCCTGCCTTTACCCATTTACCATGAAAAGAAAAATGCAGTGTATCTACTTCTTTATAAGCACAGCAGTAATTTGTACGTTTTGTACAGGACTGAGCAGTTGTCGCGGTTTAAACCCAGCTGGTAACTCAGCACCACGCTGCCACTCCCTCCCCTATACCCCCCTACTCCAGGTGGGATGTGGAGAATCAAAAGAATGTAAACTTCACAGGTTGAGATAAGAACAGTCCAGTAGCTAAAGTATAATACAAAACTACTACTGCTACTACTACTAAGGGAAATAACAAGGGGAGAGACTATAAAAGTAAAAAGGGAATGAAAAAAAAAACAAAACAGTAAACACAAGTGATGGATACATAATACATTTGCTCACCACCCACCGACTGACCCCCAGCCCAACCAGACCAGCGATTTGCCCTTCTGGGTGACTCCCCCCAGTTTATATACTGGGCATGATGTGCTGTGGTATGGAATAGCCCTTTGGTTAGCTCGGGTCAGGGGTCCTGTCTCTGCTCCCTCCTGGCTTCTTGTGCTCCTCCTCACTGGCAGAGCATTAAGACTGAAAAGTCCTTGGTCAGAGTAAACATCACTTAGCAAAACCCAAAACATCTGCATGTTATCAGCATTATTCTCAGACTGAAGCCAAAGCACTGTGCCACCTACAAGGAAGGAGAAAAATTACTGTTACAGCTGAACCCCAGACAGCAGGTGTGAAATGAATTCAAATAAGCCAGGTGACTCCTAGAGTCACCTACACCTGCTCATCTAAAGAAGTATCTCAGGAAAGTATCCAAAACATATGCTGGTCTAAAGGAGTATCAGGGAACACTGTATCTTAAACTGAACTTCATAAAAGGCAGTACTGGCAGAAGATCACATAAAGGTCTCTACAGCTGCCTGAAAGGAGTTTGGAGTGAGATGGGGACTGTTCTCCCGGGTAACAAGTGACAGAACAAGAGGTAACAACCTCAAGCTGCACCACGGGAGGTTTAGACTGGAGATTAAGAACAACCTCTTCACAGAGAGGGGATCAGGCATTGGAACAGACTGCCCGGGGAAGTGGTGGAGTCACCGTCCCTGGAAGTGCTTCAAACCCCGTATAGATGAGACCCTCCCTGACATGGTTTAGTGGTGGTATCGGCAGTCCTGGGTTTAACTTGGTCATCTTAAAGCTCTTTTCCAACCTAGCTGATTCTACGACTGACGCTCTGATTTTAAAGCGTAAGCAGCTCAATACCCCGCTCATGCCGTACCCTTCTCCAAACGGCGGAGATCTTTTTTACCTCGTCAGATCATCGTGGCCAACGTGGCTGGTGTCTGGCAGCGCCCAGGCGATCTCTAGCGCTCCCCGGCAGTGCCCCCGTATCCCGTCCACGCTGCCCGCGGGGCTCCCTTCAGCCGCTGCGCCCTGCCCGACGTCCCCGCCATGCTGCAGAGCCACATGCCGGTGAATACCGGACAGCTCCTCAAAGCCCTGCCGACAGCACCGCCACCGCACGCCCTCTCCGCCGGCGGCACACTGGGCTGCGCCCGGCACCTCCTTCGCTTTGACGAACAGGGAGAACGCCTGGAAAGCACCGCAGGCGGAAACCACCCGTTAACAGCTCGGCCCCACACTCCCCCGCCGCGGCCCCAGCGCCAGGCCCCCAGCCCCGGACCCGCGGGTCCCACGCGGGATGCCCCACCTTCCTGTGGGCGAGCGCGCGCTGCTTTCTGGCGGCGGCGCCGTCGGGCGGAGCGGCGGGGCCGGCCGCCGGGGCCTCGAGCGGTACCATCTCCACCTCGGGACGGGGAGGAGGCGGCGCCCCGCCGGACGGGAGGCGCCCGCGAAGTTTCTGGTTCGCACCGCCCCAACCCCCCCCGGAAGTCCCGCGGCCTAGCGCGCGCACAGCCGCGCGGCCCTGGTCCCGGAAGGAGAGGGGCGGTGGGCCGGAAGCGGGCGGTGCGAGGGGAGCGTGCTGGAAGCCGCCCGCGCGTGGTGTCCCGAGCCGCTCCTCCTGTCCCGTCTCCTCGCGTCTCCCGCCAGCCGCCATGTCGCGGCGGCGGCACAGCGATGATAGCGATGGTGAGCGCCGCCGCAGTGCCGCCAGCCCCATTTGAGGCGGCGGGGGCGACGCGGGTTGGGCAGGGCCGTCCCGCCTTGGGAGCGGGCTTTTGGGCGGGTGGAGGGCGGCCGGGAACGGGGGCTCTCCGGCCATAATGGTGTGCTCGGTGTATTGGAGCAGGGCAGCCGCACAAAAGGCGGAGGACGTCTGAGCCATCAGAGATCGAGGAGAGGCTCGAGTCACTCATCTGCAGGGTCGGGGAGAAGGTAGGTGGGCTGGGTAGGGGGCAGGAGGCAGGCAGAGTTAAGTGGCTTTCGGGTGGGTATTTTGGCGGGGAGGTAGGGCTGGTGGTGTGTCGTAGTCGTCGTCATGCTGTGTGTCTGTTCTTCCCCTCCCCGCCCCATGTGTTCTGTGCGAGAGATTTAAGTACTCGCCGCCCAGAATTAAAATAATTGTTTTATAAGATCGCTGGAACGTCATCAACTCTTGCAAAAACGCGCGTTAAAGCGGGCACTTTAGTAGTCTTATCTGCCGAACAGCGATAAACGGCCAGCGTATAGTTATTGTTTCGCGTCTGCGGTATATTGGAGCTCCTTCTAGCGTACCAGAGACATGGAGGAGTTAAACTTGGTCTGCACGCGCTTCGCGGTTCAAGCGCTGGCGGGATCTGAGGCTAGTACAAAGGGCATTAAATGCATGATGACGAAAATGATGGAGTGCTGAAAAACAAACGGCAAAAGTGCTTTGTTTCGTCCTGTATTGTTCATTGAGTTTCGGCCACCTGACCGTGGTGACCTTAAGGTATTGTTAGATCTCGAATCCCGGGAGCGCGCTGGGAGCGTGGGGAGCTGGGTGATCGGGTGCAGCTCGTCACAGGAGTGGCTGTTTCTTCTTTCCGGCACGCCAGCACAATTCTTCCCTGCTAACAGAACTGAATCGTCGCTCTGAAAAAGGTGTCATAAAAGGATGCTCTTGCTCAACTCCCTTGCTTTCCACGTGAGAGTCAGGGGCTGTTTTTTATTGCCTGGGGGATGATGAAAATTCGTTTTAATATTTTTTTATTTTATTATTTTAGAGTAATTCATCTTTGGAGAGCAACTTGGAGGGTCTAGCTGGTGTTTTGGAAGCTGATCTGCCAAATTACAAAAGCAAGATACTAAGAATACTGTGTACTGTGTACGTATGCAGGGTCTGGGCATGTGGGAGGTGCTTTTTTTCTCTGTGCATAAGTTTGAGTGTTTAAGGTAGTTTAAATGCCAGGAATGGCTCTAGTTCCTGAGTGTTATTATAGGGTAGAGTTTGTTTTATTACAGATGAAAAAAATAGAGGAAAAAGGTTTATTATGTAGCAGATGTAATTGAAGAAAATACCTCTTTGCATCATTTTGACTTGAAATGTATACGAAGGCTCAAAGCAGGTAGAAGAAATTTAGAGCTGCTCTCCAGTAACAGAGTGCAGTGGTGCTGGGCAATATCCTGTTTCCCAATGAAATGCATAAGAACACCAAAGCTATTGCTGCTAACGCTTAGTCTTATCTATGCTATATTCCTTGCCTGTGCCTTTTCTCTGCCATTGACATGATCTTGTCTTATGAGCCCGCTGGCTCGGGGCGGGGGGGGGAGCTGGGAACACAAAGAGCTGAAAACGGGCTCTGACAGCTAATAGCTTTCCTTCCTCCATAGCAAAGTGCAGGAGCAGAGGTGCCCTGCGTCGGGGTCACTGAGCGGTGTCTGAGGGAGGGATTGTGCAGGTAGTAGGGAAGAGAGTTGTGAAGGAGTGGTGTGGTGAAGAGGGGGAGAGTGTTCCAGCCCTATCCTGTGCTATGGTTTTGCACATTCTTTAAATCTGTTTTGTAGCAATGTTTAATATAACACAAATGGTATGTTTTTTTTTTCCTGTTACAGTAAGACACTTCTGAAATTTTAGGGTTAGCTTATATGCATACAGAAATGGTAGTGGAATATTAAGTGTTTGTAGCAGGACCTGGCCTTTCCTGTGCCATGCTTAAAATCAACTACTTTGACTTGAGAAACTTGGAATCAAAATTAGTAGTCTAAAATGTGTGTGCCTTTTGTGTAATTTGCTGATGCTGTATAATAAATGTATTTCTAAATTACGGACTTAAAGCAACTTTTTACATTCTTGCCTAAGTTCTGTCAGTTACTATATGTTCAACCCTCTGAAATACTCAGCAGTTAGGTATAAATAAAAAGCAAACACCTTAAATGTACTTGAAAGTACCACCTGCCACTTCTAAATTACTATAGCTAGCAAAAAAAAAAATTGTCTGTAAAATATTAACCACAGGGCAGAACTTTAAGATCACATTAGCAATTTTTTTTCTTAACTTCCTCATGAGGCAAGTTTAACTTAGTAGAATCATAGGATGGTTTGGGTTGGAAGGGACTTTAAAGCTCATCCAGTTCCAACCCTCTGCCACGGGCAGGGACACCTTGCACTAAACCAGGTTGCTCCAAGCCCCATCCAGCCCAGCCTTGAACACTGCCAGGGATGAGGCAGCCACAGCTTCTCTGAGCAACCTGTGCCGGTGCCTCACCACCCTCACAGTGAAGCATTTCTTCTTCATATCAGATCTGAATCTGTCCTTTTTCAGCTTAAAGGCATTCCCCCGTGTTCTGTCACTCCATGCTCTTGTAAAAAGTCCCTCTCCAGATCTCTTGTAGCTCCCCTTTAGGTACTGGTGGCTGCCCTAAGGTCTCCCTGGAGCCTTCTCTTCTCCAGGTTAAACAGTCCCACATCTCTCAGCCTGCCTTCATAGCAGAGGTGTTCCAGCTCTCTGACCATCTTTGTGCCTGTGTATGTATATGCTTTTGGTACATATATATACATGTATATATATATATGTATATGCTGTGTGAACTAACACATTCTTTGCTTTCCTCTCCTGCAAAGTAAATTTCAGATGCTAGCTACGCTGTCATTTATTATGACCTAGGGATTTTCCTTAAAATTTTGGCCACTACACTGTTACTGCAACTGTCTTGCTAGAACTGTCTTGCTGTTCATTAAGACTTACCAGCAGAAACGCAATTGCTCTCTGACTGAAGTACACCCCACACCCCCTCCAATGCAGCACAGGCTTCATTCCCCCACTTAGAGAATTCTTTTTTCCTTAAATAGTTTACACACTTTTAATATTTCCTTTATATCACTAAAACTCCCTATTGCAGATTTTTTCAGCAAAGTTAATACAAGCTGCCCCATAATTAGAAATATTACCTATATTTTATTCACTGCGTTTGCATTGTAGATGGGATTTTTTTCTGGCTGGGGATTGGGGAGATGGAGTGTGGAATATTGAATATATTTGGAAAATTTAACCATTCCTTTGGTCCCTTGTCAGTCTGGCTTCTACCACCAAAAAAAAAATACCCTTTTTCCTTGGTTGTTTGTTTTTTTATTTTTTTTTCTTTTTTTAGCAAAAGATGTTACTGGGTTTCCTACTGGTACTGCTGTCTCCCTAAAATGGTTTAAAACAGTACTGTGTTAGTTCAGCTCTATTACAAATCACAGAATAGAATCACAGAATGGTTTGGGTTGGAAAGGACCTTAAGATTATCTAGTTCCAACCCCTCTGCCATGGGGAGGGACACCTCACACTAAACCATCCAAGGCTGTCTCCAGCCTGGCCTTGAGCCCTGCCAGGAATGGAGCATTCACAGCTTCTGTGGGCAGCCCATTCCAGTGCCTCACCATCCTAACACTAAAGAACTTCTTCCTTATATCCAGCCTAAACTTCCCCTGTTTAAGTTTGAACCCGTTACCCCTTCTCCTGTCACTCCTGAAGAGTCCATCCCCAGCATCCCTATAGGCCCCCTTCAGATTCTGGAAGGCTGCTATGAGGTCTCCATGCAGCCTTCTCTTCTTCAGGCTGAACAGCCCCAACTTTCTCAGCCTATCTTCATACAGGAGGTGCTCCAGTCCCCTGATCATCCTCGTGGCCTCCTCTGGACTTGTTCCAACAGCTCCATGTCCTTTTTATGTTGAGGACACCAGAACTGCACACAATACTCCAAGTGAGGTCTCACGAGAGCAGAGTAGAGGGGCAGGATCACCTCCTTCAACCTGCTGGTCACACTCCTTTTGATGCAGCCCAGGGTACGGTTGGCTTTCTGGGCTGTGAGCACACACTGAAGCCCACTCATGTTAAGTTTCTCATCGACCAGCACCCCCAAGTCCTTCTCCTCAGGGCTGCTCTGAATCTCTTCTCCACCCAACCTGTAGCTGTGCCTGGGATTGCCGCAACCGAGGTGTAGGACCTTGCACTTGGCTTGGTTGAGCTTTAAGTATGCAGATTCAAAGATGCCAAATAATGTGATGAAAAAACTAACACTGTGTCTTTTTCTTTCTGTGTCAGCGCACGTCTGTTACCAGAAAAGCTTACTGTTTACACGACACTGGTTGGGTTGCTGAATGCCAGGAACTACAATTTTGGTGGAGAGTTTGTAGAAGCCATGATTCGTCAGCTTAAGGAATGTCTGAAAGTCAATATGTATAACCAAGCTGTGCATTTAGTAAGTGCTTTTTGGTTCTTTGATTGTTTTGCATTTTCGTTTTTTCTCTCTCTTACTACTTTCATCACTTCTTCCATCTTTTTGTTCTGGAAGAGCTGGGCCTGTCAGTGTGTATTACAGCCCCTTTTGGCATCAACTTGCACTGCACTGTTAGATACACCAAGAGGAAATGTGTGCTACGTGAGCAGTATTTATTTCCTCAGGGGAGAGAAATCATATTACATTTGCAAAATTGACTTCCAATGGTGTATTTTCCCAATGATGAATTAAATCTGCAGTAAACTGACTGTCCTACAGTCATGTAAAAGACAGACGAAAGTCATGCACTTTGTTGTGTTCAGAGGTGTATGATCTTCTGGCTCCCTTGGGGGAAAAATATAAAATAATAATAAAAAAAGAACAGTCTGGTTCTTGAAAGCTATTTTTGATGGCTCTTATCAGGCCTGTGTTTTCAGTCTGCTAAGGAGGGATGGAGATCAAGCAGGCAGTTTTAAGTGCTGTCTGTCTTTGAAACCATTTTTGCAGCTCTTGCTGCTTACAGATTTTGTTTGTAAAAATGTATTAAGGCTTCAGAGGTGTCTGCTTTGGAAGCCCAATGCCAACCTCCTCAGCTTCTTTTGAAGCCCACTGGTGAAA